CCACCTACTGGACGTGTTTATATCACCAGACACGTTGTGTTTGATGAAACTGATTTCCCTTTCGAGAATGCGTACAAGAGAAGTCATCCTTTGGTTCTCACTTCTCTGCTTAAAGCCTGGCAGTTGAGTTTTTCACCAGAAGAAAGTCAGTCTTCAGTTGAACAGGAGTCTACATCTGTTGAAACAAGTGTGGTGCATCAAGGAGTACTACCTCTGTTTACTGCAAAAGAAAAAAAAATAGAAAAAATATTATAAACCAAGAAATATTAATAAGAGGAGGAGACAAGAAACAAGTATAAAGGACTTGTTCGTATGTACACAAACAAGAAGAAATGTTTACTTGTAGAAAAATGTTTTCTTTAATGTTTAGGGACCAATTTGTTTAAAAACATCTGGTAGAAACTAAAACATAAATATATTAACCATTAAATTTTATACTATAAATACTGGAAAGAACTTAGGAATTTTTGGATGGGTTTCCAGAATAATTGAATATTAGTGTGTTTCTTCCTATGAAAGAAGTTTAAAAAAAAAAAAAACTGAAATCAGATCAAAAACTAAAGATTGATATCTGAAAATTTAAGAAATTTCAAATGTTATTTGGAATTTTGGTGAAAAATGTATGTAAACCTAAATTATATATTACATAAGTTGGAAAGCATCCAACTTATTCAAGATAAGCTTCCAAAAACAAATATATATGTGGTATGGTTCATATCACGTAACCACTAAATAAAAAAACATCTAGAAATGATCAATAAAAATGTAAATCATCAACAACCCATTAAAATGAAAAATAATATAACACAGATGAACAGGAAACTTCATCATATAACAGGAGAAGCAAATGTAACAATAGTCTGATTGTTACAGCTAGCTGAATCAGTAATAATCTGCACGATTCAATTGTTTTGGAAGTTTTAGTACATGATGAAGAATCCTATCATGAATTGTATAAGAAATAAGAAAATCATACAAAAACAAACAAAATTAAGATTTTGAGTGCAATTGAGGAAAATCTCGATTACACATGTTGTGGTTTAACCAAAATAAGAATTGTACACCATATTGGTAAGAATCAAATGAATTTGTCTAATTTTAAAAATAAAATTACTTAGCTCATTTCTTCATCCTCAATTATATAAATGAAGTTATTTATTTTACTTGTTTGGCTTATGCATGTTGATATCTTTGGTAGGCTCGTGAATTTTCTTATAACATTGTTAATCTCTTGCTTGTGCTTGTGCTTGTGGTTGTGAAACTTTGTAATATTTTTAATATTTCAGGAAGGATTTATGTAGTTTCAGGAAAGCTTTCCGAAAAATTGATGTTAACAAATTTGATTTTTTTTTGGTGTTTTCTTGTTTGGCTTAGTCATGTTATATCTTTGATAGGCTCGTGAATTTCTTATGAAATTGTTAGTCTCATACTTGTGGCTGTACTTGTACTTGTGAAACTGTGTAGTGTTTTAAAATTTCAGGAAGGATTTGTGTAGTTTCGGGAAATATTTGATAATAACAAATTTGAATCTTTTTTTGCTTTGTGTCTTCTTTTTTGGCTTACGCTTGTTGATATCTTTGGTAGGCTCGTGAATTTCCTTATGACATTATTAGTCTCTTACTTGTGCTTGTGAAACTGTGTAGTTTTTCTAAATTTCAAGGAAGGATTTATGTAGTTTCAGGAAAACTTTCCAGGAGATTTGGTGTTAACAAATTTTGAAATATTTATTACTTGGTTATGCAAGATAGTAACACGATGAGATTTTTATTACCTCTCAGACTAACACTAACTGAGCTGAAGTATAAGATTGGTTCAGAGTCAAGGCAAAATAGTTAAAAATTTATGTTGATTATTGAAAATGTTCAGATTTCTAAATGTAATAATAAAGCATTGTACATATTCTGGATGACTTTACAAGACCAAAAAATAGAAAAAAATATGAAATGTTTTTGGATGGATTTCAAAACACATATGCTATATAAGATAGCCTTTGGCACTTTCCGAATGGGTTTCCAAAAAAAATGAGTATGTTTTCTTGCATAAGTCTGTTTTCCAAGAGAATCAAAAGCGTGTAAGAAATGTTAGACAATCCTTGTTCAGGATGGCTATCCTAAATTGGAACTTAATCTTCCAAAAAAAAAACATAATCAAATTCTATAAAAAATATTTATTGGCTACAGATATCACCAAATGTAGTTCACTGTCTACAAAATAGAGAGCACATATCAAACAGAGAACATTAAAATAGGATATCTTGAAGCATTTTCAATAATTTTATCAAGAAAGTGTTAAATGTGGTATCATTATAAAACACATATGTTATTATCAAACACATAAATTTATTTAAATATAAGTTATATATTATAAACTTGGAAAGCATTTGACAATTTCTGGATGACCTTCCAGAATGAATATATTAGTGTTTTTCTATCTAGAAACATTTAAACTAAAAAAATGAAATGAGATCAAAACTAAATATTTCAAGTTTTAATACAGAAATTTGAGAAAAAAAATAAGGAAAAATTTACATCTCCCACTAGTCAAACCTGAGAACTCTAGGAAAGGGCATCACAGTGTCCGACCACTAGGCCAAGGGTGTTGGATATTTAAGGTGCTTTTTTTCAGATTTCTGAAAGTAATAAGAAAACATTTTACATATTTTGGATGATTGCACAAAACAAAACAAAAAATAGAAATTTTTTAACAGAAGGTGGAAAACATTTTAATTTTTTGGATGGGTTTCCAAAATAATATAATAGTGTGTTTCTATCAAAATCTAGTGTCTTGATATTTTTGATAGGCTCTTGAATTTTCTCATGAGTCTCTTGTTGCTCGTGCTTGTGAAACTATCTAGTGTTTATAAAATTTCCAGGAAGCATTTGTGTAGTTTCAGGAATGCCTTCCAGAATAGTTTTTTTTTTTGCTTGGTGTCTTATTCAGCTTAAGCATGTTGATATCTTTGATAGGCTCTTGAATTTGCTTATGAGTAGCTTGTTACTCGTGCTTGTGAAACTGTCAAGTGTTTATAAAAAAAATTAGGAAACATTTGTATAGTTTCAGGAAAGCCTTCCATAATAGTTGGAGATTCAAAGATATCGATCCATATTAAGTTCAGAATGCAAAAGGGCTTCCAAAGATATATGTTCCATTCAACTGTGGTATATTTTTTGTCAAGATGCTGGAATGCAGGTCATTGGGATTGAAGAGCATGGCCAATATAAATGATGATACTGCGATGGACTTACGAAGCAAGCTATGTTGTGAGGTCTTCGACAAGTTTATGGATAAAGATTTCCAGGAAGGTAGCAGGAAGTGAAAATGTCACATTCGTTCTATTTTATACTATGTATTTAAACTTTGATGTTAGTTGGACAAGTAGAAGTTTGTAATGAATGATCACTACAACGTTTTTATCATTTAGATTGTTATTGAAGAAATTTGAGGATGTCTAGGATAACATGTGGCACTTTCAGGATGAGTTATCAGAAATAAAAATGAGTATGCTAAACGTTGGAAACAACTTTAGAATTTCTAGATGGGTTTCCAGAATAGTTGAATATTTGCGTGTTTCTTTCTTAAACTAAAAAAAAATGAAATGAGATAAAAAAAAAAAAAAACTAAAGATTGCTATATGCATACTTGGAAAATCTCAAATTGTGATTTTGAATTTTGAAGAAAAAAAAGAACAAATATACAAACTAACAGGACTCGAACCTGAGATGTCTAGGAAGGGGGAATAAGGTGTGGCCACTAAGCCAATTGGATTCATATTATTCAGTGATGCAAGTGAAGTAGTATATTCCTTTTTTTTTATTCAGTTAAAAAATAAAATACGAGTCCGAATACCCTTGGAATTGAACGCAGGTCAAGACAAGTTATTCAGATTCATAAGATAGGTGGTTTAGCTACTAGGCTGAGGAGAAACATCTGGTAGGATATAAAGCATAAATATAGTTAACCATAAATTTTTATTAAAAACGTTGAAAAGAACTTTGGATTTTCTGGATGGGTATCCAGAATAGGATATCAATTGTCACATTCAGAATGGCTTTCCAGAAAAAAAAATTCAAAACGAGATTACCTAGATACAAGATCACTAATCCTCTAAATTCTCAACTTTTTTTTGACTGAAACAAAATACGAGAGAGAAACACTGTAAAAAAAAAAGCACTGATCTTATATATTAAAACAGAAGTCATGACTTGACTTCATGTGTGATTTTCTAAAAAATGGACTATTACTAGAAAGTCATGTTACATTAACTCTCTAATAATCTTATTATTATTATATCTTATGAAAAATCATATCTATAATAATAAAGATACGCTTCACAATTTGGTTTTCGTAAACTACCTCACACTTTTCAATTTTGTCACGCAAAATATGTCAATGGATATAAGTTTAAGAATCTTCTATTATTTATAAGGAAATATGTCAATAATAGTTAAATGCATCCACAATATATTAACAAAATTATATTAACAAAATTCACAGATTCGTAATATGGAATATTTATATACCCTAACAAAAGTTACATGCTATATATACTAGATAAATTTATTTCGATGTAAATTTTTAAAATTGTAGTATTTGAAAAAAAATTGTTTAAAAATTTCCTTTTTAATAAAATTCTTTATATTATTAATTTATGAAGCTATAAGTTTAGTTTTTAGCAAAAAATTCTTCGAAATTTATATTATCTTTGCAAATTAAAGTATACTAATATTTAATCAAGCTCTATTTATAAAGTTTGAAAAACATGTGTAATATAGAAAATTTGAAACAATCTATTTGATTAAAACACATATTATATAATATTATGTTTGAAAAACATTTACTATACATATCGTAAATATGTAATTGCTATAATATATACCAATCTACAAGTGAAAACAAAATGTTTATATAACTAAATATAAATGAAAACAAACACCCGCGCGGTTGCGCGGATCAAAATCTAGTTCCATTTAAAATAAAAACTAAAAATAAAACATGACGTGGGTTCTTAAAACATAACAAAAGAAGTTGATAACATAAAATTAATCAACCATCCATTTTCCCTCACGCATGAACCAATCATGGACTTTGACCTCACATCAGCCAGGTTTCCTTCTGCTTGTGCTTCTGCTTCACTTTTATTTGATTCACTCTCTTTTATCACTTAACCATCATGACTTTAACGAATTCATCATAGTTGATCTGGCCATCGCATCAACATTAGCTTCTCGGATCATCTCATCAACTTCCTCATGGGTTAGCTTCTGTCCAAGGTTAGTCATCACATGTCGAAGCTCTGCTGCAGAGATGAAACCATTCTGGTCTTTATCTAAAACCCTGAAGGCTTCCTTGAGATCTTCCTCTGTGTTAGTGTCCTTCATCTCCCTTGCCATCAGGTTCAGGAAATCCGGAAAATCAATGGTCCTGTTCCCGTCAGCATCGACTTCATTGATCATGTCTTGGAGCTCAGCTTCAGTTGGGTTTTGCCCCAGAGACTTCATCACGGTTCCGAGCTCCTTTGGTTGTGATGCAACCTGCAACCACACCCCCCCCCCCCTCAAAGTATAAAGCTTTAGAGACAAGACAAGACTTACAAAATACTATAATCAAAGCTCTTTCTACTAGTTTGTATCATGTCACTGCATTTCTTATTAAGAGAACAATATCTTATTTTTATACACACCAGATTGAAAACAATCTTTTCAAAAGTCTTGGTAAAATGTAAAGGAAAATGAAATATTGTAAGTTGCTACGTGTTTTCCAACTTTCATTGTACAAGTAGGAAACCTAGACTCATATGTGTATATCCTCTTGAAATAACAAACACAATATTCTTGTCCAAATCTCATTACAAGGTAACAAATCTCTAGCCATTTCCTTCATCTATTGAGAAGACATCTCATCGTACATAAACACTATTATAAGAATGATGCAGTACAACAAGTAGATCAGGTAAATAGAAAACTCTCGCTTGTTACCAATCTAGTATTAACCCACAGACTAATTGGTATATGAGAAGATAACCAAATCAAACCCTTAAAAAAAAAAAAAAATCAAGCGATTCAGCGAGAAAGCTGACACATATCATGCAAAGTCATGAAAAAACGAGATTGCTCACTAATTCAATTGAAACAAAGACGTACTGTACAGATTATGAATCACAAAAAAAAAATAGAAGAGCTCAAAGATCAAAAAGGGAGAGGTAAACGAAAACGATCTTAGGAGATAAGATATACCATCTCCATCCTTGTCGAAGAGGCTAAAGGCTTCCTTGAACTCTGAGATCTGGTCATCCGTCTGCTGATCCGCCATTTTTGCCTTCTTCTGAGCTTTTTTCAAAAGTCTCTATCTTTTTTTAATAACTCAAAGAGGGGATATAAAGGTAAATAATCCCCTTTACTGAAACATATTTCTGTGACTTTGTACCTTGAGTAATTAGTTTGGGAACAAAAACTTGGTCTAATGCTATTTTGGGCATTTTCTCTATTTTAATTTATAATTTATATATTTTGGATTATAATATATTACAAAATATAAATTTTGAAAAATATATGGTAGTAAAATAGTAAATGAGCTCAAAGATATATGTGTAATCTTGTATAAAATTATAATAGAATTTTAATACAAATGTTTTTTTTGCATTTAAAAAGGGTTTTTGGATGAAACTCCCAAAATCTCAGGTTGTTTGTGAAACACTTCATTTTTTTATATATTTTTAGAAACTCTTAGAAATAAAACTGTTATTTCAATTCTGCAGATGAAGAGAAGCGTTCGCTTCTTACATGGGAAGTGAGGTTTAAAATTACAGAAGGCATTGCGCGAGGTCTTGTTTATCTCCATGAAGATTCTCAGCTGAAGATTATTCACCGAGACTTGAAGGCAAGCAACATACTTTTAGACGCAGAGATGAACCCTAAAGTTTCAGATTTTGGGACAGCAAGGCTGTTTGACACCAATGAGACTGGAGCTGAAACAAAACGAATAGCTGGAACTTGGTAAAACATATCAATCAACTTTAAGATATATATAAATATGTTCACCATCAACTAACGTTATAAGTTGTATATACACAGTGGATATATGGCTCCTGAATACCTGAATCGCGGGCAAATCTCAGCTAAATCTGATGTATATAGCTTCGGTATTGTGCTTCTAGAGATGATAAATGGTAAAAGAAATAATAGCTTTGAAGGAGAAGGAATTGCAGCTTTTGTAAGTTTCTTCACATATCAGTCTTCAGGTACTTTCAAACCTTTGTAGAAAGTAAGAATATAACTTTTCTTTTGGTTCAGGCATGGAAGATATGGACTGAAGGAAGGCCTGAGGTTATAATTGATCCTTTATTGGTAGAGAATCCGAATAACGAGATCATTAAGTTGATCCAAACTGGGTTGTTGTGTGTTCAAGAGAATGCGACAAAGAGACCAACCATGAGCACTGTAATAGTTGGCTTGGCAGTGAGAACATCACCATTCCTTTACCTAAGGCTCCTGTTTTCACAAGTAGCCATTCCCAATCTGAAGAGGGTACAATGTCAATTAGCAATGTATTCACAGAGTTGAGTTGTCTTTGAGTTATCTTTCTTATCAAACATAAACACTATAACTATTCTCGTAGATTTTTAAGTTGGACCACCTCTTAGATAAGAACTATTTTATGGCGTTGTTAAAATATTATGTTAGTAATTTATTTGTTTATTCTAATTAATTGATTATTCAATGTGGAATATACCTTGTGCATTGATTTTCCTCTACCTAAGGCTGCTGCTTTTACAAGTACCCATTCCCAATCTGAAGAGGGTACAATGTCAATTTGCAATGTATTCACAGAGTTGAGTTGTCTTTCTTATTAAACATAAACATTATAACTATTCTCGTAGATTTTTAAGTTGGACCACCTCTTAGATAAGAAATATTTTATGGCGTTGTTAAAATATTATGTTAGTAATTTATTTGTCTATTCTAATTAATTGATTATTCAATCTGAAATTTACCTTGTGCGTTGATTTTTCTTAGATATCAATCAGATTTGGGACTTTGTACTACAAAATAAAATAAAAATATTCGAACATTTTTCTCTTCCAAAATACAGTACAAATTCTATAAATTAATACTCCATAAACTAATAAACACTAAAAATTAATATAAAGAATCCAGTTCTGTATTTGGCCGGTTCAAAATATGACATAAATAATAAGCTAATAGTTTTTGTTTTAGAAAATCCTATGTAATTGTTCTATTAAATCTATAAATTAATAATTATATATATAGTTATAATAGTACATCCAAAACCTTGTAGTTTTTATTTTACATTAAAAAAGGAAGTTAATTTCTAATTTTTTACCAAATATATTTTAATATTATGTTGTAATATAATATTTAAATCACATTTAAATCAAACAATATAATACAAACAATTTGTAATCAGATTTATAAAATTTAATTAATGTATACACGGTACAATAAACTATTTTCTTATTGAAGAATATAAATTTTAAAATAAGGATATTACTAAAAAGGAAATCTTTTATAAATTAATAACTTTGTAAATAACATATCTTAAAGTAAAAACTGTATATATTAACAGTCTTGAGACTTTTTTATTTGATTAATTTATAGATTTATTAATTAAAAAAATTCGTTTTTAGCTTTTTTATTTTAATACATATTTCTTTTGTAAAATAATAAAATATCTGATTTAGTGTATATACATTAATTAACTTCTTGAAACTTGACATTTATATTAGTTTTATTATATTATTTGGTATATATAAAGGGTTATTTTCAAAATTGACTCAAAACATGAAGTCAACCCAAAAACTAACCTATGATTTTTTTAGATTTTTTTTTTGTCCTATTCACCCCATAAATTCACATTATTTACGAAAATTCCATTAGTTTTTTTTTACTCTCTCAACCTCATCATCTACAAGTATTTACAAGATTGTCATTAGCATCAATACACCAACCACCATGAAAAACTAATTTGGAGCTCTCAATGCACCTAAAATCGATTTACATTATGTTTTCTCAATTCTTATGAACGAAAAACAACATCTCTTCTATTTTCTCTCCATATTCATCCAAAAAAACAAAGATTTTGATTCTAAATTTTTTATGGTTCATAGAGCCATTGAAGCTTACGATTCTTGGTGGGTCACTTTTGTTTGAGATTCTGGGTGCTTGGAGAAGACTTCTATGTGCTAAACAAGTTATCTCACTGGTTGAAATTATGAAGATATTTTTCAGATCTATTCGTCTAGACGACTTCCACGTAAGTCGTCTGGCTGTAGACGACTTATCTGGAAGTCGTCTGGTCATTGCAGGGATTAGTTTTGAAATTGACTTTTAAATTATTTTTTTAAGACGAGTGTAAGTCGTCCACCTTCGTTTGATAAAAAAATATTTAAGACTACTTACAAGTAGTCTAGGGAAACAAGCTAGTTTTGCATTTGACCGGAATGTTTCAAATTTTTGATTTTTGGTAAAAAAAATCAATATTTTGTTATCCTAGACGACTTACGTGGAAGTCGTCTCAGGTTAGTTTTGAAATTGAAAGATTAAACAAAAAAATATTCTAGATGATTTGCATGGAAGTCATCCATGATTTTATTCCAAGATTCTGGTCAAACCTTTCTTATCTTGGATGACTTCCATGTAAGTCCTCGGACGGATGACTTACACGTAAGTCATTAAGAAAAAAAAATTGTTTAATATTTCAATTGCAAAACTAACCTGAGATGACTTCCATGTAAGTCGTCTAGAAAGACAATTTTTTATTTTATTTTATATTGGACGACTTACGTGTAAGTCCTCCAGGAAATTCAAATGTCTAACACATTCCGGTCAAATGCAAAACTAACCTGTTTCCGGAGACGACTTACATGTAAGTCGTTTCGAGTTTTTTTTTATCAAACAAAGGTGGATGACTTACATCTCAGTCGTCTAGGTTAAAAATCAATTGCAAAACTAACCTAAATGGAAGACTTCCTAAAAGTCGTCAAGAAGTGGAAGCCGTTTGCGTCAATGTATAATAAATTTTTATTTTCTCTAAACCTATAAAAAAAATTAATATTTTTTGTTAATTCATGTATATTAGTCAATATTAGAGTTACTGGATGAAACTTATAACTTAATTGGTGATATTTCTGAGGTTACCAATATTCATGTTAATTAAAGTTTCTAGCTGATCCGTCTTCTGCACTAGTTTTGAATAACTTGTATTTTTAAGAGTAGTAAGTAACTTCAAGATATGTAAAACTCTTCAAAATATGTGTTTCTCCCGTAGTTTTACTAAATTTGACTAAGTTTTTCAACACAAACTTGTAAAAATGTGATATACTTTGATTAGTTACTATTGTTTGTTTTCATCTCTTAAGTATTATTGTTATAGACACCAATGCTAATTATGAGTTGGAAGAAGGGTTAAAATGTTGTATCAATACGAGGTAACCAAAATTATTGTTTATTAAGATGAGAAGAAGGTCATTGTTAGAACATATATTACATCTTGGGAAACATTATTACTGATTTTACAAAAAAATCACAACTAAATGAGTACACATGCAAATCACAAACAAAATTGTTATAGATTATTATATTTTAGTAGTCTCGAAGACTTCTTGGAAGTCGTCTGTAAGACTTTCTAGAAGAAGTCGTTTGGAATATTTCCTAGAAGTTGTCTTAAGACTTCATGGAAGTTGTCTAACACATAATATTTTAGAAGACTTCCCATAAGTTTTCCAAAGTCTGATAACAGATCTGAAAACATGTATATCAAACCTAGATCTAAAAAACCTGCAAAAAAAGAAATAAATTAGTAAGAAAGACATGAGAAAAATTTGAAAAATTCTTATAAAGTTTGGTGTTTTCAAGTCAAAGAGATTAGAATGTGTTTGGAGAATTTTAGTTTGGGAGAAGACTCCATCCGAAGACCTTCCAGAAAACTTCAAGAAGGTCGTCTAGAAAAATTTCTGAAAATATTGCGCATTATATTTTAGACGACTAACAAATAATTTGTCTTAGAATTTTTTTTAGATCTGAAAAACCTGTGTAGTCATAAATGCATGGTGTGTGTGACAATACTTGAGGTGATACAAATAGTTGTATTTCATTTTATCCATATCTACAACATGTACTACTATTTTCCTCTTTCACCGGTTCCTTGCAAAGTCTATAAAGGTATAATCGACTAAGTCAAAATAATTTATATATTCTTAATTCTTATTCAGAATTTGGTTATACAATAAATTAACGCTTATTTCAATGTAATCAATAAACCAAACCCGGTTTGGGATGATTAATATAATATTTTTAATTACAAAAACTTTGATATGATAATAAATATGTACACAAACCCATATATACAAATCCGAAAATATATTTTCTAATAGCCTCTCAAGTTGGAGCTTCTTCCAAGTATTTTAGTGAATACATAGGTCAAAAATAACTTATATGCTTAGGGGCCCTTGAACTCTTTCGAGGTAAAGAAGCAAGAGTCGCCCACGAGTTCTAATTGTTGGGAATGTCCTAAAATCATTTGTACTTACTCTTGGTAAAGTTGTAACGTCGAGGTTCGACAATCGTATAAAATTAGGTGGTTATAATGTTTTGCTAGAAACCGCTTATAATCTATGAATTGAGAATTCATTACTAATATTATATGATCCTACAGGGTCACACACCTAAACAAACTAGATCAATATTATTTGGGGTTTAAGAATGATATGATATTATATATGTTATATGAGATGTAATATATATAAGTATGCATATAATTGATACATATAAATATGTGAATGTTCAAAGTACAACACATACACGTAGGTGAAGAGAATATTGTATTCTTATTTACTTTGGGCTTAGCCCATAATATATGTGCTTACGTTAGGTTAAGTCCATGTTATATAATGATATAACGATGAGACTAATCTGATGATGAACTAACGACGGCAAACCCTAATATAATAGAGACAAAATGTTTGTCAAGTTCTAGAGATCTGATCTGACGGCACTAGCATCCCGTATCGATCTAGTTTGTGTGCGTGTGGATACCGGTAGAGGCACAACGTTTGGAGTGCTCGAAATCTCGACTTGGTGTATTTATCTTTCCGCTGCGAATAACCAGGTATATTCGAAACCCTAAAGATCTAGATTTATTTCAGTATTAACATGAGATTCTAGGAAAACAGAATTCATAGGTTGTTTTATAAATCGTTATAAACCGGTATGAATTCCTACAGTGGTATCAGAGCCTACTTGTTTAATACTGAAATTTGATCTTATTTAGTCTATAATTTGATATAGATAAATAATTCTAACAATTTGATTGTTTGGATTTGATGTATTCGATATGAACCCTAATTTGATTATGATATTGGATAAAGATGTACGTATTAATTTATACGCTAAGGAACATTGACTTTAGGAAAGTTAAATATCCCCTATATATTAATTGAGGAACATTTGAAAAGATGTAACCTCAATTTTGTATTAATTAAAAGAGGCCCAAATGCATAGGTGTCATTCAATTAGGTAGTCAATTAGATTCAATTGAAAAATAA